TCCACAGATTAGATACCGATAAGGTTTTGATAGGTTAGACATAGGGAAGATGTTTCCACTTGTCGGGAAGACCAAAACCAGGGGCCATCAATATAAAATAGTCACAAATAGATCAAATAGAGAAGACATTTCTTCACACAGAGAGTAGTGGGCATGTGGAACATGCTACCACAAGGAATTGTTGAGGCAAATAGCATAGATGTATTTAAGGGAAAGCTAGATAGGTACATGAGGGAGAAATGAATAGAAGGTTACACTTGAAGGCTTAGTTGAGGAAGAGCAGGAGGAGGGTCACGTGGAGCATAAACACCGGCATAGACCAGTTGGGCCGAATGGCCTGTTTCTGTGCTGTATATTCTAATGTATTCTAATGTATAATATTACTTGATAGTTTCAACACTGCAGAATTGGTCAGTCTTATTCAAATCCATAGTGTATTTAGTATGAATGACCATGTTCATGTGAAGCGCATGTTAAAAGAGCTTTTCAAGGAACTTTTGACTTGTAATGGAAAGAGCTCCGACAACTAGAGTCACTGCTGTAATTAATTCACATCTGCATCTCAAAGAAACCCACATGTTTCTCATTCAGTTTTACTTTGTCATTGATTCAGCCAAAATATTCAAGAAATAAAATGTCTTCAATGCTCCATGATTAGTCTGATATCTGTTACAATGTGTTCAATTGTCCAGTACTAGAGGTAATGACTGTTCCCTTCCAAAGAGACTCTATGTCTGCTGTAGTTATTGATCCTGGAAACCAACCTTCTCCCCATGCCCATGTCACCACACTATTGCTCGGCATTATATGTTGCTGGTATCTTCTGGCCTAACCACAAGCAAAAAGACATGAGCATCCCTCAAGTTAACCAGCTGATAATCGCTGAGGTTAAACAACAGACTTTCATTGGCTTCACTTGATTACTTTTCTTCATTCATGAGTGCAGTGATGTTCTGTTTGCAAGATAGAACTTAAGTCTCCGCTTGGAGGTGCATCATTTCAGCTTTTACAGTAATGCTCTTTGACTCTGAGACTAGAGGTTGTATGCATCAGTAACAATATAAAAATAATGAATGGTTTGGTACGTTCCATGCTGGATTAGGGGACAGTTGATTAAAGTACAAGTTAATAGAACAGTTCTTTAATTACCTTAAGGTCTTCTCTTCAAACATAGGAGAAGTCACATCATTCATCATAGAGACCAGTAGACAGGATTTGGACAGTACTGCTCTTGAAATTCAAAGCACATTCGAGGAATGCCAGACCTCATTGAGGATGAACGGCGGTCCATTAACCAATTTGGTAATGCATTTTGATTAATTCATCCACTAATTAGTTGCATCTTAGACATATTTGCATGCAACCTGGATACTTATGGTCATAACGATCATACCAGTTATTCCCTGCATAGACTATTAGCCCAAACTTCCCATTATACTTGACTCTATTTTCTTGGCTGAGGTTTCATTCAAGTGCAGAAATTGACTGAAATGAATAAAAACAACTCCCTGTTAAGATTAACCAACAATGAGATTGGATCAACCTGGAGATCTACAAAAACAATTGAACAGACTTGACATTGAGTAGAGCTATTCACAAGAGATCTGCCTTTGGTCCAGCACTAAGCAGGGAGCTTTTTAACAGTAGTTTTCTATAAATAATTGCTCGCAGTGGAAAAGTAAAGGTCAAGTATACTATATATAGATGTTTTTGTCTAAATTACATGCAAAGCATTGCTGTGAACAGCCTGTGATTGTTGCCCATGGTTGAGTATTACTGCTGTCTGCCAATCAGTATAAAATGGGAAGAATCATCAATATGAAGTCTCAAACTGGAGACAGGTATTACTTAAAAAGAGCCTTTTCATCTGAGTTGACCAAAATGTAGTTTCACAAGTGATGGCCAGCATATTATTGTATTGTGAATTGTCACTTGCCCACTTGTATTTGTGTGTGGGTACGTATGCATGACTTGTACAGATACAGCAGCATTTAAAATTAGAATTCAACATCTCTTACATGCAGAAGTACCACAGCAGCAGTTTTAGATTTACCTACCAATAAGTGAACTCATTACAGTTTGGTTATGCAATACCATCATTTGAGAGCAGCATTAGAGGTCTGACAACCCTTTAGGCAAACAGCCAAGTGTATCAGAGGTCATACAATAGATGAGGAGGCGCAATATTAAAACAACTCAATGAGGAGAATACTCCCGTGATATTGACAGTTTCATTAGCAGAGTTACACAAAGTGCAACACGATGGGCATCTTATGTTCATTAACAAAAGAGTGGTTGAAAAAGCAATATTTTGGGCATTATTTATTCTTTTAACTTCTGTCGAAGGTCTTTATTGTAGTATTTCAATGGCCATCACAGATTGTTAGGAAATCAGCCATTCCACGATGAGCATTTCTGAAATTTTAACTGAAGCCTACAATTGTCCTATCTCACAAAAAGTGAATTCTATTTACAAATAAACTGCTAGCATGCAGTTTATGTACAAACATTTTTACTAAACAGGAGTTGTATGTTTTAACCACAGCATGATCTATTTTTAAATCTCCCCTCTTTACCCGTTTGCTTTCTGCATTGCTCTGCTCTATGCTAAATAATATCCTTTGAATGAAAGAAAATTCTCCCACTCTCAGCCTTCCATTCTGATTGTGCCTGAAGCTATGATGTTGCATAATGCACAATGTTGAGGTATTCAGGGACTTTCCATCTCTCCATCTGCTGGAAAGCCTGAGCTCAGTTACTGTCTTCCCAAGGGAACCCGTTTAAAATTGGGAGCTCACAATGCAGGACTACTGGGGTCCGGGTCCAACCATTTATATCACTGAAGAATCGCAGCACATTAGTACCAAAATGCTGCCTCTTAAATACCCTTCCTGGGAAGCCATATCATATCCGCTCTCTTTAAAGTTCTGGAAATTGGTTTGAAAGGTAAAAGTACAATGAAATCCAATCTAAAGATCAAAGAAGCATAATGTTGTTTTGGATGAAGAAGACCCTATGGCCCGTCTGATTTCATCCTTCTAGATTGCCCACCCTGCTGTCTTCCCATAATAGCATCAAGTTTTTTTTAACCAAACCCAGTTCCTGGTTTCAATTATCCTTCTTGGCATCCTGTTTCAGTCACTCATTACCCACTGGGTATTGAAATGTTCCTGCTGCCTATCCTGAAATTGCCCTTTGCAACTCTAAAGCTGTATCCACTTGTTCTACTGTCTTGGTGTATCTTAAAGTATTGTTCTTTTTTTTTCAATGCCATTTAAAATGTTATACAACTCTACAAGTCCTCTCTACGACATCTCCATTCAAGACTGAAGAGCCTTATCTTGACTAATTGTTGCTCGTATCTGATTCCTCTGACACTGGAAATCATCCTTGTTGCTCTCCTCTGTATTGTGTGTCACGAGGACAAGAACTGTAAGCATTACAATAGTTGTGGCCTGATCAGAAAACTATATAACTTGATTATGATGTCTGGAGATCAGAACTCAACTGATTTAGTAATATAGCCAAATATCCTGTCTGTCTTGTTTATTGATGTCTCACACTGTTTTAACTTTGTAAGTGAGAAGTCAACCAACACCCCTAGATTGCTTTTAGCTTCCCTCTTAACAAGTTTTATTTAATCCATGGAATGATTAAGTTTCCTATTTTTACTTCCTATGTGTCGGTATCTTACATTTATTTATATTAATCCTTATTTGCCAGTTATACCCCACATGTACATCCTATTAAGCTCTCTTTGCAGGACCTTTTCTGCTTCCTTTGTTTCTAAAATCCCCCCAAACTTGATGCCATCTTTAAATTTGACTAGCTTACACTGGTTCAGTGGTTCTACGTGAATAACATATTCAGTACAAGGAAAACGAGGTGTCTCCATAGACTCTGAGCCACCCGACTTAATACCTTTTCCCATTTGATTTAACTTTCCCAATAGCTTGCTTTCCTTCAGCAAATTATGAATCCATATCCATGTTTTGCCCTTGATACCACTGATATCAGTTTGTGAAAGATGCTTTCATTTGGTAGCTACTCAGTCGAACACTTTTTGGAAGTCCAGATATACCGCACCAGTTTAAAAATGATGATCTTGATCAGTCTGACTGTGCTTTGCTATGATCGATGACATTGATTACAAATCCGCAGTTGATTTGAATTGTGTGATACTTTTCCCAGAAATGTTCCTACAGTGAAGTGCTGTGTATGAATGAAAGGGCTCCATCCTAAACAATAGGACATAGAGCTGCCCATTGTGAGAGGGGTTGACAGGAAGACTGATATGAACTCTAGTACAGTATTAGGAGGCCTGCCACCTACCTTGATTGTATGTAGATCGCCATTCTTCGTGTTGCTGCATTCTTACTTATGCGAGAAGCATTAGGTGCAGAAAAGCAGTACATATGTACATAATGAAGATATTGGCCAGAGTAATGGCACTTTTCCATTACTGACATATAAAGTTGATGAGTCTGAGACAGCCGTCAAGACAATGTTCAAATGCACTGCAGCTGGCTGGCACATTCGCCAGATTATAAACAGGGCCATTAAAATTATCACTGCAGACTCATTTCAACAGAAATAAACAAAGACGTATCATCATTTGTGCCTGTGCTCCCTTGCATCCATTTATATCCCATCCATTTTCTTTTTAAAACGCATATATTTAATTAATAAAAATAATTTCTGAACAATCAATCACCACGCACTGGTTCACTGTGACAAAAAAAGTATTATGACATATTCACATAGGCCATTCCACTAAACATTGCTCTGGTGTTTGAAAGAAATATCGCAGATAAAGTAAACACATTCTGACAGCAAACGATTGCTGATGTAAGAGTGTCAGTGATGGAATAAATACCATCAGGTTCTTCCATCACAACTGTTGGATGCAGAATGACATCTCAGGCACCACAGTGCACTAAACTGACCCATACTGCCTTCCTGCTGTAACCGTGGCTCATAGCCATTGATCAGTGCCTTACCTGATGCTCGTGGAACCTTTTTTCTCCTGAACGCAGCTCCTGACTGCAGGGCCTCCATCAGGCTATCCATCACACCTGTCTCCCCGCCACCTAGAGACACAAAAAACACCTCATACAACAGCCGCCAGTGATAATTAAAATACAATAATCCTGCATCATCCAATAGCTAAAACACAGCAAGGAGTCAATCTTTCTCATTCAATAACAATTTTTTTTGTGCCTTCAAACAGGAGCTCATCACTATGAGCCTTTTAACATGGGAATAATTCTTTCCTGTAAACATCTTTTTGGCTGGAAAAAGAAACAAAAAAATCTCAGAAACCAGCTCGCTGGGTTAAATCAGTGTGGGTTAACAGTCTTTAGTGCAGTGAATTTCTACTGCAGCACACCAAAAATAATCCAAACAACATTCTCCTTTACACATTCCTACTGTTTTATGATGTTCAGGACATAATAAAATAATCTTGTTAAATAATTTATAATATTATTCCAGGGCTTACAATAGTCAACTTTGAACACAGTGGATGGACAAATCGGATTATAAGCAAAATCTGTTTCTAATACCAAGTACGAGTGTGAACTGAATACTCAATAATCATGTTTTAATTGTGGCAGATTTTTTTCCTCGTAAATACTGGTTGCTTTGTGACTCTCAAAATTGTGCAATGGGCCAACGTATGTGCGTAAAAAGAGCAAACGTTTTAATTGTCCTGCAATTGCACAAATATTTTCTAAAGGTTGCGAATATTCAACTTTTGCTAAAATATCAGCTTCTTGAAGATTGCTCATTGATGATAATATGAATGGTAATAAAACTGGCGAAACATTCTCCCCACTACTTTCAGGTGCTTCAAGATATTGTAGATCAAAAGATCAGAAATGCCCTTTATACCTCTCTGAGCTCCTGAACCAACCTGCACTGAACTAGTCCTTCAAGTGGTTGGAACCCGGACTGTCCCACCAGGAGAAGAGTGCTCCTCGGTGCACTACAAGGTGATGTTGCAGGTGGCTGATGATTCACCTCATCCTCTAGCTCATCTCCTATGCCCCTATCCTCAAGTCTTCAGCAGAAGCCAGCCTCATGCTATTTTGCTGTCCCCATTTCTGAATGGATCATGGCCCACACGCTTCTCACATGCTGACAGACCACTCGGGCCTGGGCTGACCCCACTATTTAATCAAGTAACCAAATATAATCACATATCTTTTATTTATATAAATTTCAAGTGCACATATTTAAATTAATTTTAAGTCTATGAGCCATATAAAAGGAATAATAAAATCATAGAAATTTACAGTGCATAGAAAGTCATTCAGTCCATCAAGCCTACACAGGCTCTCAGAGTAAACTTTTCATTCATTACCAATAATAATAACTGGGCTACCACATGTGAAGTGAGCTAAATACATGCAAGTTGTTATTGTTGTGGCTGTTGTTGCATTTGATATAGAGCCTTTCACATCGGGAGGATATCTCATAAAGTGCTTTGCAGGATTTACTGTAAAGAGTAGTGACTGTATTTTGCAGGCAAATTGAGGAATAATAACCCTTGCATTTGATACAGCACCTTATCATGTCTTCAAGATGTCTCAAAGCTCTTCATAAAATATACTGTAAAGTGAATTGATTGTGTATTTTGTGGGTGAAACGCGGCAGCCAATTGCGCACAGCAGTGTCCCACAAACAGTCTCGAATTGAAGTGACCAATGGGTAAACAGAGGCGTGTGGAGGAAGGAAACTTCCCCAAAGTTTTGCCCTGCCCGGAATGGAACCCAGGTCTCTCGCTTGAGAGGCGAGTGCTCCAACTACTGAGCTATAGGAATGGAAGTTAGTGTATTTTAATAGTTTAAGAATAACAAAAAAATGGGGCAGAAATTTCCATTGGGTCTAGAATTATTTTATTTTAAGTCGTGCTTTACTGTGGTGAATTTGTAAAATTCATAAATACAACCTTAATTTTGAAGTCATTTTTCTGTAAGTTCCTTTTGTAGAACTATAAAATAGTGGCTTTACATCTAAGACCAAATTTAACAATCTACCAAACTCTGAATTCTCTGCAATGCTACATAAATATAATAAATCTAAACCTAGGTGGCATTTTTACCCCTATGTGTCAGAACGAATCATTGCATTCCATCAATTTTATCCATTTACAGGCCATGTACAACGCATCTTGGCATGAACTCCACTCCATCTATTTAATCTCCTAAGGGACATTCTGCATAGTTACTTATTGACAGTTGAAGGTAAGAAAGTAGAAGTCTGGAGCATTGTCCAGTTTCATGTTCATTATTCATTACAAGTCTTTTGTCTGACACAATGACCAAGAAGATTGTCCCATGAAGTATTTATCTATGATACCTAAAGTCTCCAATCCTACTTCTGACCAGAGATTCATGCTGCCCTCTTTTTGAAAGCATTAATCAATACAGCATCAACTGGCTTTGCTGCTCCACTTGTCCATAATTGAGTTTATGGACAATCCTGATTGAAAAAAAATCAGAACATCAAACCTTTGCCAAATGACACTATATTCAAGTACACAAACTCCCTGCTTGTCAGCCATCCCAACTCCTCCCTCCATAGACAGCAGATCATCCAGAACTCAGCCCGTGTCTCTCCTGTACCAAGCTCGGCGACCCTATCACCTCCACCCTCGCCCGACTCCACTGGCTTCCCATCACACAAAGGATACAGTTCAAGCTCCCGATCTTCACCTTCAAAGCCCTCCATGGTCTTGCTCCCCCCAACCTCTGCAATCTTCTAACCCCCTACCAACCTGTCCGCTCCCTACGCTCAGCGGACTCGGGCCTGCTTCACGTCTCCCGTCTCGCCCACCATTGATGGGCGGGCCTTAATCCACTCTGTCCCCACCCTCTGGAACTCCATCCCGCAGTCCCTCCATCTCACCCCCTCCCTTGCCTCCTTCAAGACCCGTCTCAAGACCCTCCTCTTTGACCGTGCCTTCGGACACCCTCCTCCCCACCTTGCTACCGACCCTCCCTGATCCCGACCCCCAGCTTGGGTCCAAAACACTGATTTTCCAGCGCCTTGGGATGTCCTCTTGATGTGAAATGCTCTATACAAATGCAATTTTGTTGTTGTTGTATATTACTGCACTTTCAAATCAGGCATCGCATTCAGCTCAACTTTCACATACCTCATGGCAATTTATCATGCACCATATTCTATACAGTCACTCAAGGCAAATTCCACTCCTAATAGTATAAAAAAACTGGAGTATTTTTGAGGACACCTTATGACACATAATATAGCCACCAGTGAGTTTACATATATAATCCAATGTCAGGATTCTACTGATGTACATGAACTACTTGGAGGGCTCATCAAAACTACTCAACTGAATTGCAGCCTTTGCAACTTTCGACTATCTATCCATTATCCTAAATGTAATCACTGGGTAATATCCATTTATATGCAAGTCAAAATGTTTCAATGAATTATATCAGACAGTACAGGAAATATTATTTTAGCTGCAACAGTAAGCTTTCTGAATTAACTTGCAATGGTGCATTTTTATTTTTAAAAAGACCGCCTTCTTCCACCTCCGCCACACTGCCCACCTCCGACCGTACCTTACCCCAAATACAGCCGAAAACCTTGTGCTTGCGTTTGTCACCTCCCACCTGGATCACTGAAATGCACTCTTTGCCTATCTTTCCAGCTCCACTATTCAAAAGATCCAGCTCATTCAGAACTCTGCAGCCCGCATACTTACCGGGACCAAACTCCGTACCCCTATCTCACCAGTTCTGGCCAGCCTCCACTGGCTCCCCATGACTGAACGGACCGATTTCAAGATGCTCACACTGTGTTCAAATTCCTTCGCTCTCTGTCACCTCCCTACCTCTGTGTCCTCGCTCTCCAATCCACCAACTGGCACCTCCGCTCGACTGGCAGCGGTCTCCTGCTCGTCCCTCGCACCCTCCGCTCAACCATTGGAGTTTTCACTTTCAGCCACTACGCCCCAAAACTCTGGAACACTCTCCCTCAATCCCTCCACCTTGTCCCCCTCTCCCTTTTTTCAATTCCTGCCTGAAAACCTTCCTTTTCAACCGTGCTTACGGCCACCTCCCCGTGCCCCCCCGACTTGGAGTCAGACTCCGCCACTGTTAAGCGCTCTGAGACACTACCTTGCGTGGGGGGAGGGGCGCTATATAAGTGCAAGTTGTTGTTTTAACGTGTGAAACTTGAAACTAAGTTGTAGTCTGGATAATGTGGCCTCAGATGCATAACTTAGATATATGCATGTTGTAAGCTTTCATTAGAACAAACAAGATCGTATAAAGACAACCATCCCGCAGGTGATACAAAAATGCTCAGAGCCTGGCAGGTCCTTTAAGGAGAGTATATATTGAGTGAGAATTGTATCTCCTTAGATACAAATCTTGTAGGGATAAGCACTAATCCAAATTCTGAACACAGAAATATTTCAAAAATAAGGTTCTTTTTATGAATGCCTGAAATTTGATTCAATTTGACTTGGATGCACCTGTTTTTTGATAGGAAAATGAAACTATAGCATGAATGCACAGAAAAAAAATAATATCTCTTTGGATGTATGCAATTCCGTTTTATCTCTTCCCCAAAACTTTCCAACTGTTTTGACAGGTAGTACATGAGCTGAAAATAATAGTTCTGTTTGAAATCTATTGGAGAGTTTGAATTTCATTCCAGCTGTGGGATATTTATGAGTCTGTATCATGTTGTCTTTGCAGTCTGTTGTTAGGTTTATCTCAACGTTTGATTTGCTTCGCATTCTGTGGTCGGCATAGTGAATCGTAGACACACCAAAGCAGAAACTGAATGAAGAAAATGAACTCCATCTAATCATATTGTGTCATTTCAGGGTGTCAGTCTAGTTTAAACAGGAGCACTTTTGCCTGTGAGTCAGAAAGTTGTGGGTTGAAGCCACATGTTGGGGTTTGATTTCACATTCTAGACTGACACTCGAATGCAGCACTGGGGGTGAACTGCATTGTTTGAGGAGTAAACCTTTGGATGTGATGTGAAACCATTTGGTCTCATCTGCCTGTTCATGTAGACATTAAAGATCCCATAGCACTAA